ACCCTAACCCTAACCCTAACCCTAACCCTAACCCTAACCCTAACCCTAACCCTAACCCTAACCCTAACCCTAACCCTAACCCTAACCCTAACCCTAACCCTAACCCTAACCCTAACCCTAAGCACACATTACTGTGTACAACACGAAGGGTAGTTACTATTTATAGAAATTATGGAGGCAAATTGCCTCCGAGGCGCGCAAGGGCACAGGCACAGGGCACATTTCTCGTCGCCCCTCGTTCAGCACCCTCAGCCTTGTAATGGCGGCAATCGATCCTCTCAACATCAACTATATCAAACAGGCTCGAGAACTCTTGTGCTACATTACGCACGACATTTGGCCGAAATGTGCAACAGTGCTTGTTGTCATCGAGCAGCTCCTCTCTGCAGTTCGCATTGATCCAACCTCTCACTCTTGCATTGTCTCTCCGACGCTCTCGCGACGCCAGAATTAACATGGCTTGTAGCAAGACTATTTCGACCCATATTGATTGACCTGGCGTCTTGATGGCTTAACTCGGCCAATCCGTTCACCTTGGATGGCCTCTTCTGCATACCTTACCTGCTTGAGGTCCACGAGGAGCTCTATCCGTATGTGACCTGGCTTCCCTGCTGCAAATTTGAACTTATCGATTCTTCAGCATTCTCATCCATCTACTAGATACGGCGCCATCGGCTGAGGTCGTATTGACCTCCGGTGAAAACGTGGAGATGCCGCTAGCAGTAGAGCGTTGCCATGCCATGCTGCTCACTTATTATCGGCTCCTTGTGGTCAATCCAGGGCTATCTCGTTGCTTGCAACTGTCTCAGAAGCTTCTGATGTCCATGATGGAAAGCCTTCCTGATCGATGAACCCGGCTCTTGTCTGTGCTTTGTTTCGCCCTACAAGGCGGGCTCAGTGAGTCTGAGCGGGACGATCTTGTGACCACCTGCTTAGGCGACTTTGCTGTCCGCGACGCTACAGTGCATGTAGGTTATGTCTGTGGTTGTGGAATGAACACTCACTCTGGATCTATCTGTGCAAGACGGATGGCTGCTTCCTGTGTCGGAACGCAAGAGAATATTGGAATTACGGGCAGCATTGCAGGACGATCCCGGCTTCTACAAATGGAGCCAGGCTGATCACGAGCATGGAAGGCTTTTGAACGATACAGACCTCGCAGGGATCATAATGTCAATATGTGGCGTGTTGGTCCTTCGACAAGCTGCACCTTTCGAGCCAGTCATCTCGCCCATTGCAACAAATTTCGTCGTGACAAAGTCTGCCTATCCCTGTCTACGAGATCTTGCTCTCCACTATTCTCAGAAATTGCCCTGCCTCCTGTCTTCATCGCCATCTGCGGGTAAAACAATCATGCTCCAACATTTGGCACAAATGGTTCACGGCAGCGCTTCTCAGATCGTGTCCATACATTTGGCGGACACCTCTCTGGATGCTAAATCACTTTTGGGCACCTATGCCTCCTCATCAGTTGTCCCTGGATTATTTGATTGGGTTGATGGACCGCTTGTCCATGCTATGAAGCTCGGCAAGTGGCTGGTATTAGGAGATATAGACAGGGCAGCACAGGATGTCCCCAGCACCCTTCTTCCACTATTGGAGAGCATGGGCTCTTGCCGCCGGATAGGATCCCAACCATCTGTGGACGTGCTGGGCCGTGGTCAAGTGTTCGCAGACAATGAGTTCATGGTTTTTGCTACACGCTCCGTACCATGCTTTGTCCCGATCATCCCCGCTGCCGGTAATTCTCGGCCATTCTCGGCACCAAGGTTCTTGGGTCATCAGCATTTCTCCGAAATAACCCTTCCGGTCCCAACTCTTGATAAGCTTCCGCTCATCATACACGAAGGCTTTCCAAATTTGCACGATGACTTGATCCCTCTCATTATTCGCATTTGGAACACGGCTCGCGAAGCTATCTCTGTCCTGCAAGGAGATGCCAAGGATATCGATCTGTTAGCACTCAACCGCTTGTGCCGCCGTGTTTCATGCCTCGCCAGCGTCAAAGCTGAACTTAGTTGGAAACCTTTTTCCCATGAATAAATCGCACTCAGCCATGCAGTGCGGGAGGAAATTTTCTTGGAAGCACTTGATATTTGATTGGACACGTGTCACATCCATTACAAGACGGACAGCCCGGAGAAGTTATCGACACGATTGCAGCTTCTTTAGGCCTATCTAGCGAACGCATTCAATGGGTGCTTTCTCAGCGTATCCCGGAGCTTCAGTCTTCTGCACTGGAGGGTTCAACCGCCCTTGTTATTGGTCGAGTTTCTACTCAACGGATTCATCGTCATGTTGTCGTAAAGTCCCACCGACCATTTGCTTTTCATCGACATTCACTGCGACTGCCGGGGATTACGAGAGTTGTATTTGCCAGATAAACACCCACCGACCCTCTGGTCAATATCACCTCCCAAATGGAATTCCTGGAGGAACGTATGAAAACACTAAGAGCACAGTTGGGACACCACCGACGGAGTGAATGGTTTGCTAATGGACATGGCACCCATTCACGGATCGATAGTCTCATGCAAAGACTAAGCAAGACAGAACGGGACCTCGCAGCAATCGATCCTCCACCTATCACTCGCTCCTCCAATCCAAACATTATCGACGCCTTTTTCGGCGAGATTGAGCAGTTCATGCAGCAAGTTCTAGATACAACACGCGTAGATCGACTCCTCCACGACTCGACAGAAGAAGCTGCGAGACCTCAAACATTGCGCATGGCAGAGGTGATCGATCATTCAATCGATGCGTTTGTCCAAAGAATTCGAGAGATGTATGCACCCCTATTCGATCTTGTGTTTGGGGCCATTTTGTGCATGCGTTCGCTGCAAGTCGGCATCAAGCTTGCCTCACGGGTTGCAACACTGGAGGAGACAAAGATCGGGATGGCCCCGGTGACGACTCCCTTTGATTGACCCAATTCCCTGCAGCAGCAACAATATCTTGGGTCTGCGATGGATCCCGTCGTATTCCTCATGTTCCACCCAACTTGCTCGTGACAAACGACATTCTCTTGACTATATGCCTCATGGCCACGAGGAGCTGTCTCCATCCACTATTACAACCAGACATCGATCTCATCGAGCCGTTATATGAACTGCTCTACTCTTGTTGGTCAGACCAACAAGACAAAAACGAAGCCGAACGTTTGAACAAACAAAGTTTGTACCGTTATCGATCAGAAAATGAAATCAACCACGATGAATCAGAGGAGCAAACAATGGAAAGGGAACTCCACTTGCTCTTTCCTGACTTCGAAGTGGATGTTTTCCTGAAACCAGAAGCTGGCTCCACCTCACATCTTAACGCGTCAGGCTAGGGAACGAATACCAGTCTTCGAATATGGACGATCCACCAATTTTTTTTTGCCAGCTCGAAACATGCCTCCACCATGGCCGTGGATGTTGTCAAGACTCTTGTGGCCGAGATTCATTCAGAGCAGCTGGCTGGTATCGATTTTTGTCAGCTTCCCGATGCCCTGGATGTAGGGAGACAACTGTTCAGGCTCAACTATCTTAACAACGCGTTGTCGAGCCTATCGTATGACGAGCATGTACATTCAAGAAACAGCGATTTCTACTGGGGCAAGAATATACCCGAGCTGGAGAAGGTTTTCCTAATACTGTCAGAGCTCGATGCAAGACTGGTTCACATTTTGCCCCTATGTCCAGAACAAGAGCTGCTCTGCGAGATTCAGCCTCGCTGCAGAACAGTGCTCGCTCAGTCATTAGAATCTTCTCTGGCTCGGATATTGCCGAGTCTCGAAAGCCTCGTCCATCATATCGGTGCATGGGAGTTTGCCAATCGCGAAAACTCCTTATTAGCTCTCCAGAAAAGGATTGTTTCGTTGATCGTTGAATGGAGAAGAATGGAATTAACCTGCTGGGCGACGCTTCTTGATTCTGAAGAACGGTTATTCTCCCGGAAAACGTCACAATGGTAGTTCCTGATTTATGGAGCTGTGACCAGGCCCTCTACTGGTTTCAATGGTGAAGTGGCTTTAAAGGAGCTGTGCTCTCTCTTGGACGATTTTCTTACAAACAGTCCCGCAGGACAGTTCGGGGCACGACTGGATCTCATTGCTTCGTTTGGCGTCTACCTCAAGCGCATTGCCCACACGCAGTTCCGATATACCGAAGCAGCCGTTCTCGTGGGGTCTCTTGCAGTATACTACGAGCAGTTTCGCAATACTGTTCAGGAGTCCCTGCTGAAGGAGAGGAAGCCTTTAGAAGATGATATCCGCAACTTTGTTCAATTGGCAAGTTGGAAGGATGTACCCGCTCAGCTTCTTCTTTATTTCTTGTATCGTTCACTATCCATCGCTCAGGCCGGTAGAGTTCAGCATCTTCACCAAAAATAATCTGATTGCGATGGACATGCCACGCATTAATGCCAACGATTACCTACTCGGGGAGGTGACATGATCAGCAACGCATTGATAAAGACACGAATTCGGACTCACCGGCAGGGAAGACCTCACCTGCAATCACAGCACCGTCATCTGGGACAACACGTGGTAGTGGAAAGCCCACACCGCTGTGAATTCTCAGAGCCTCTTGGATACAAGCCGCGAGGTAAGGCAACTTCTCTGTCTCAATGTATGTTAGTTTTTTTACACTGAGGACTGATGAGGCAGAACGGGCCATTGCCGCGGAAAATGGTTGATCTGCTTCCAGCTCGAGGGAGGCTTCATCGATCTCCTTCTGAAGAGTATTGTAGACTCTTCGATCCCTACAAATGTAGTAGAACATTGCCGCCTACATAATCATCCCAGTTTTGTAATACATAATCACACTCACAGCCTTGCAATCCCGTTGCACTTGATCAGTTGTGAGGAGATCCTGTCCCTTCGCATCACGAAGCTCTAGCATCATAGACATCATGTCGGCATGATTCTCCGGGCTTGCGAGATGAACATTCATAGAGGATTGCATGAACTAGGTCTAATGTTAGGATGGTGAAACCAATTTGCAGGTGACGTGACGTACATCCGTGATGTCCTTATACACCTGAATATTTGTGGTGTTAAAGAACTTGCCAATGATGGGTCTCGCCCAGGCAGGCGCACGACCGAGCTACAAGCCCTGTTAGCATATGCAGACTTCGCACTGTGCTTGAACTCACTATTCCGCCATGGGCATTCCGATCAGCAAAAAGGGACTGATGTATGTTCAGTTGACTTGCCAGGAGACGAGAGAAGGGTAACTCAACCAGAAACCCGAATCTGTCGCCTTCCTCGATGGCACCAAAGCTGCGACCAACTGAGAGCTGACCTGAGGAAAGCTCAGCAGAGCGCATGAAATGACATCTTACAGCGTACCCGTTACATCATATGCCATGCGGTAGAACCACATGGACATGTCGGCTACGTCACTCGTCGATCCAAACAGCTTGTCAAGTTGCTTAACGAAGCGAGATATGATAATTTGCACATGAGGCTCAAGTTTCAGCAAGTTGTTCATGGTGTATACCGAGCCAACAAGGCGTCGCCTGTCGGTGTGTCGTGCTTCATCTCTGTCAGTGAAAAGACTGGGAGGGTCGGTAGGAATACGAAAAACATCATAGAAGTCGCTCTGAGAAGTCATTAATAAAATAGATCCTACCGAGTGCGGGCATACCTTGGAGAAACCTCCAGTGACGGAGTAAATCATCTTCATTGCGGACGGATCGCTTATCGATACCTCGTTTGGAGCGATCCGAATGATTGACCCTTGTCGTTTGTGCAGACGATCCAACACAATATGCCAATCACCCCGATATGCTACATAAGATAAGATTTTGTACCCAGGTCAAAACGGAACTCATTACCGAGGTAGGTTGACCAAAGGTTGGTCAGACTTGCTAGGAATGGTCCAGGATACTTCGACAGAGGATGTATGAAGCGTTGTCGGATCACATAGCCAATGACGGTCAACAACACCAAGAGCGAGAAGCAAATGAGGTCGAGATTCATGAGCATATCGGTGGGCACAAGAGAGGTACACGTCAAGCCAGAGAATTGTCAGAACGTCAGAGGGGAATATGAGTCGGGCACAGGTGCGCCTTTTATCCAGTGCATCTTTACGGTGTCTTGCTCGGTGCTTCTATCGTCGATACGTTGGGCATGCCCGAGCACCGTCCGCCAACTCATAGATCATAGATGCCTGTTCAATAGTAGCCGGGATGCCACCAAAGAAGGGGGTCATGATATGCACGCGATGGGCCGGATCAACTCTCATCCGGCCCATCGCGTGCGAGCATCAGGGTTCCACGGGTGGTCAACCCCTTATAACTGTGCTCGGAAAAGCATTGCGCAGGACGACGCACAATGTTTAACGCGTTAAACCCTCTTTCGGTATACCATTGAATAATGTACAGCCCAAAAACTACTCGGTAGAATATTCAACACGTTACCGCGATCACAGACGAGCGTGCCCGTTCGCAGCTTTCACCTGCACATCTTTCGCAAGCGTCTCAGCCCAAAACTGGTCAGCCGCTACGTCCGCATCATATCCGTAGAGCGCGTCTCCCTTCCTCTTATCCGACCATTGATTCCATTCATCCTGGTTCGTCCCAGGCTTTTCCATCGCAGTCTTCATAACGGTGTCGCGCGCGAGTTGCTCGGGTCCGTCAACTAAATGGTTGATCTTCTGGTTGAGACGGGCAGAAGCCTGAACTTCAGAGGTTCGAGGGTACCGGCCCGTCTCATAGCCGCGGATGAACACTGGGACCTGGGACTTGTCTTCAAGACGAGAGAAGATGTTGCCTAGGAAGGCAGCGTCCTCAATAGCCATGGCTGCTCCTTGAGCTCGATAAGGCTACCGATACATTCAGAACAACGTCCGACTCTATAGATAGAAAAGAGCTCACAAGCATGGGATGGCAACTATCACCGAGCAAGACGACCTTCCCTGAATCGTGTACCCATTTCTCCAGAGGCATGCGATCCATCAACCTCCACTTCAGGACAGAGGGCACGAGATCCAGCAGCTTCTGAACGCTGTTTACGGAGTGAGTCCGAAGTGAGATTGCCTTGGAGATTATCTTACCGCGGCTCCCAGCCCTCAAAGTCTTTGCGCATCTTGTCGGCACTGCCCTGCGCAGTCCACGACTCCACCGAGCCATCATCAGGATGTGCCAAAACCAGGTTGAAATCGCGCCGGCCGCGCACGCAATAGGCGACGATATGACGGTGGGGACCCATCCAGATGGTCATCTGGGGTTCGTTGACGAAAGGTGCCAGATCTGGATCCTTCAGGAGTAGCTCTGTGGGTAGAATAACCCTACAAAGATGTAAGTCGACATCATGAAAAACTGACAGCTGTATACGCACCGGTATGCCGCATCTCCAGTCGGCACAGGCTTGTCCTCGTGCCCGACGACGACCTCGCGAATCATGGACTTCACTCCGTCAGCCCCGATAATGAGATCAGACTTCACGACCTCGCCGCTCTGGAGGGTGCAAGAGGGAATCTCTGGGTCGATCTTTACAACGGTGCTCCCCAAACGGATCTCGACGCCGGCATCGACGACCAAGTCGTACAGCATCCGGTGGAAGTCGGCGCGCTGATGAGATTTCAATGAAATGACGTAGGGAAGCCAAGGGGGACGCACGTGAAGATGATAATAATGCGAACCGTAGTCAGGGAACATGTGCTCGAACGAGGTATACCCGATCATTTCACCATTCTCCCAACGTCTAAAGCAAAAGCCTGCCGGAACGACACCGAGGGCTTCAAGCTGCTTCCTCAGACCCCAACGAATAAGAAGCCTGCTGACGTTGGACGTAACCTGGATGCCGGCGCCGACTTCACCGATGGCGGGTGCGGCCTCGAGAATCATCACTCGGTGGCCAGCCTTGGACAACGTAAAGGCAGCGGCAAGACCACCAAGACCACAGCCAACGACAGTGATATCGATGGGACAGGAGGAAATGCGACCATCCCAAAGAGTGACATTCTGCGGAACGAATATTAGGCGTTGAGTTGCTATTGGTAAGGACGAATCCTGCGCACCTCGGCGATGTTCTCAGCATGAGCAGCCTCATCTGCCTTTGCAAAGTCTAGACCGACTTTGAGAGTTGCAGCTTCAGGTGCGGCAGTCATTGTGTTGAGATTGGCTGCTTGACTGAGAGGAACAAGGGAGGGCGGACAAGCGTTTGAAGCAGAGGGAGTATTCGACTTTAAGCCGGAGGGGTATTTAAACGATCAAAAGGGATGCCGGGAGCTCGCAGGGACGGCCAGTCTGCCGCGGGTCGGCCCCGGGAGAAACAGCCATCCGCCAACCATGGTCCAGAGAGGGCAAAGGGGGGGGGATCAGGAAGGGTGTGTGAGAGGGGAGAGGGGACAGCGTCCGTCCATATCAGGTTAATCCATTCATCCCCTCCGCCGCGCCACCAACTTGAACACGCTTAAAGGTTTCCCCCGTGTGGAGAAACGGAGCATCACTGGGGGATCATGTCAGTCAGTCACCTTCAATTGACTGGTAATAATACACCACAAAAAATGGTCAGCCCGAGTGTCTTGATGGACCTTGAATATCTCAGCACTACCCTTTGCCGGCCCGACGTCCCTGCGATAAGCGGTCGTGTCTGTAACACTCCCATATTTGTTTCCTGGGTCTCCCATCTCTCACTACCCTGTAATGTGACCAGCTACACACCAGGTCATTCGCGAATCAGACAGCGTTGTATGGAGCGCTGTCAACTCCGCGGTCGGCAGTCTCTGCTTGAACGTTATTGACATAATGACCGGCATGTCTCTGAACCGGGGAAGTTGCTGTCAGGCTTCTTTGGTGCCGCCGGCACGCCGGAGAGCCTAAACGCCCAGATGTCGAGGCTGGAAGCTCAGGCGTAGGCATCAATAGCGCGGACAAACCATATCAAGTAAGTTTGTCGGGCATTTACGCGTCCTTCTCGTGGTACACGTTCATGCGGCTGCTCAACGTTTATCCGGGCCAAGCAATCGGACCGCTGTTACGCGCAGGATCCACAGATGGGGCGTTGTTCTTGGCATATTGGGCCAGACTGAGAAAAAAAAGAATAAGAACGGGTGCGAAGTTGTCTGATATGTTGGTGGATGAGCATGACGATCATGAGAGCCTACGAAAGTTCGAATACAGGTATGGACCAAATACGGCGTTATCGATAAGATTGGAAGCGCCAGGACGACTACCATCGTCAGGGCGCTCATGAGGACTTCGAGAGAAGAACTGAATTGATGTGACGTGAGGACGGCTGCAACTGCGGTTCTCATGTTGCTGGTACAAGAAGACAGTCGAAGTCGAGCAAGAGAAGCAGCCGGACGAAAGCCCGTTTCTAGTTAGAACTGGTAGTTGCAGTCCTTGTATCGTGCCTGAGGGAATAGAGAGCCATTTTGAGCCATAAGCCCGGGAAATATTGACCTAATGCAATTACTGAATATGAACAGAGTATGAATAGAGGGAAAACGGTGGTGCGGGAGAACAAGATGAGTTGATCGTCAGTGCGGAGATGCGGAACCGGTCGTCACTGCCACCGTTTTGTTGCCCCACGTTGATGACGTCCTCATCGTCACCTCACCAGTGCAGTCCCAACCAGTGTCGGGTGTCTGCACCAATGGATCATCGAACCGCATCCAAACACTATAAAGAACAAGCAGTTGACATGACTGACTCCCAACATACACTTTATCCACGACCACCATAACACAAACAAAACAACAATGATCAACCTACCAATTGCACTCGTTGCGCTTGCTGCATCTACGAACGCACAACGCTACTACAATAATGGCTACAATAACTACGGCATGAGCAGAGGTGCAAGAATCGGACTGGGGATCGGGATCGGTACGCCGCTCACTCCTCTTCAACTGCACCATGTATGCTCATTCAAACCATAGCTGTTGCATTCCTCATTTTCCTATGCCTCCTCATCTCGTGCTGCATGTCGATACGTCGCAGGCGCGCTGCAACCCCGGGCCTAGGCATAGGAGCACCTGCGATGGGTACTGTCGGTGGTCCGGGATATGGGCCTGCCTACGGTCCAGGAATAGGTGGTGGAAAGAGATTCGGATTTGGGCAGGGCCGATTTGGTCGGGGAGGAATTGCGAAGCCTGCGAATACGTATCAGCCAGCTGTGGGCGCATATGCACCTGTAAGTCTTTCCGGGATTGTGGGAAAACATTGATACTGAGACGAGTTCCAGCCCCCGGCTGCCCCACCTACCAACTACGTATAGAAGCACATCTTGTATCCCCACGTTTGAACCGCATCGTATGATATCAATCCCGAGTTGTAAAGTTGTTGATGCCCTTGCAATCCAGATTGCGATCAGGTATAGAATTTATGTCCTGTTGTCACACTCCCGGACGCAGCATTGTCTATTGCTGGCACAATGACTCGAACATGTGTGTGGTGCGGTGTAAGGGTGCCTACCTGGGCTGCTGCCTTGAGGAAAAGCCTGGCAATGGTTACTTTCCCCTCCGGACTGCGATAGCGCTTACAGGATATGCCCAAGCAGCTTCTTCGGATGCATGCTCCCTTCACGAGTGCATGGCAGATAAGATACAGGCATTCGAAGAACGGGGGAAGCTGCTGTTGGGGTTTTGCAAGAGCATGCAGAACACGAGGCAGTATAGGCGGATGTCGCCTTCTCAACACAGGAATGCATTGCCCGAGGCGCTTCCGGGATTTAAGCCAGGCTTCGAATGGAGATGGCATGCATGTTTCATCTTCCAATAAATATCCACACTTCATAGTTCCCAACGAGCCCATCGCCCTCACTGGGCAGTATGGCGTACCCGCCTGGTCCGTCTACTCCCTCTAGTCGCATGAAAGCACTCCTTTCAAAGTCCAAAGATGCCACGATGAAGTTGGCAACCAGGATGAGTGGCATATCAATGGTAAGCATACCAAACTCCCCCAGATAAGTGGTGCTCACTAGTAGCTGTATAATACAGAGAATTAACGCCAATGATAAGACCGTCGACGAGATCTTGCAACGCCCTCCAAACACTCGATCATCAAGTGCAACTGGGTTTAGACGGAATGACCAAATTCCCGCCATACATTTCCCTGGAGTTGGAGTGTTTTCAGTGAGTCATTGTTACCGTTTTCCTGTGTGAAAATGCTTCCAATTGAGAAGCAGGCGGACATTGGATTCTATCACAGCGGTCCTTCGAGATATCGACAAACACAAGTACAAGCGCAGTCTGATTGTCGACGACCTGATGGCGAGAAGGACGATGGATTCCCTAGACCGTCAAGTTACATTACAGGAGTTCCGATGGTCGCTTGTTAGCATTGTTCTTTGAATTTCCAGTTCCATGGGCGCTAATCCCCAGCAGATCTCCATTGCCATTCAGAATCAGCAGACCAATTCATCGCTTCATGTAACAAGGGCCCATCTTGTATGTGGTTTGACGGCTAAGCCAATGAAGACTGACTTTTGTCGGGCACAGGATAATTCAATTATCCAACTCAGACGCATTATCCAGATCCAGGCATTTTTTTAGCTTGGCCCTTTACTACTAATAGGTGAGGCCTTGCGAGAGGCTAAGCAGTCCTTGCAGTTTCCTTTTGGCTACGCAAATCGTCGTCCTGCATGGCCTAAAAACGGGGGAAAAAATCAATGCACTGACTCCTCTTTCTCACTTCGTTCGTATCAATGGGCTAGGTTATGATAGAACTTCCAAGGGATCCACAACTATCTACTTTCATCTCAACACCCGTCCTTCTGTTGAGCTTTATTGCTCGACTGGGTTTTCTGGGTTACACACCGGACGACAACACTTCGAAAGAACTCACATGTTCACAAACAAGTGTTCAATACTCAGATTTCAATGCTCAATTTCCAAGACTCCAATTTCAAATATGATGTTGCCATTGTTCAAGAAAATGGAGTAGTGCGTTCCCCCCCTAACATGCTTATTAATGCAGTGCAATTGAGCGGTGAGTTATTGCTTTTACCGACAGGTGACAACCATAAATGGGCAAGGATAAATGCAAGACGAAATGAAATACAAATGAAGCGATATCAACGCCCAAATTAACTCAGAAGCCCATGCCTCCCATACCCCCCATACCCCCCATCCCACCAGGGGCACCACCCATCGGAGGCTGCTTGTCTTCAGCATCCACAATGCAGCACTCGCTCGTCGTCAGTAGGGATGCGACACCGCTAGCATCGAGCAATGCCTGTTTCGTGACCTTGACGGGGTCGATGATACCGGCCTCGAACATGTTGGTGAACTTGTCCTGGTAGGCATCATAACCACTGAACGCGGAATCAGCACATGTACCATAGAAGGGATAGACCAACACCACTTACAAGTCGGGCTTGTCGGCGTACTTCTCGAGCAAACGACCAGCGATCACAGCACCTTCCTGACCAGCGTTATCCGCAATGATACGCAACGGTCGGCCAAGCGCTTCCCGGATGATCGCAACACCAAGCTTCTGGTCGAAGTTGTCCGTCTGGACGCTGTCGAGTGTCTGACTGGCACGGAGCAACGCAACCCCACCACCAGGGACAATACCCTCCTCAACAGCGGCACGAGTCGCGTTGAGCGCGTCATCATACCGGTCCTTCTTCTCACCGACCTCAACCTCGGAGGAGCCACCAACCTTGATGACAGCAACACCGCCGCTCAGCTTAGCAAGGCGCTCTTGCAGCTTGGTCTTGTCGTAATCGGAGGTGGTCACGTCGTTCATGACAGCGCGGATCTGCTCACAGCGAGCCTGGATAGCATCCTTCGAGCCTTCACCGTTCAGGAGGATAGTGTCATCCTTGGTGATTGTGATGCTGCCAGTGCTGCCGAGCAGGTCGGGAGTCGCGCGGTCGAGCTTGATGTCCAGCTCGTCGGTGAAGACAGTACCACCAGTGAGGATGGCGAGATCACCAAGAATCGACTTGCGGTTATCACCGAAACCAGGGGCCTTGACGGCAGCGACCTGGAGCTGACCACGGAGCTTGTTGACCAAGCAGGCGGCAAGAGCTTCGCCATCGATATCCTCAGCAATAATTACAAGTGGGCGACGAGCCTGAGCAGCAGCCTCCAGGGAGGGGAGGATATCCTGGAGCGCCGAGATCTTCTTCTCAGATAGAAGGATCAGGGGCTTCTCGAAGTCGGCTTTTTGGGTCTTGACATCAGTGATGAAGTAAGGGGAGATGTAGCCCCGATCGAAGCGCATGCCCTCGGTGATCTCGATCTCATCCTCGATAGTCTTGCCCTCCTTCACGGTGATAACACCCTCCTTGCCAACCTTCTCCATAGCGGTAGCAATTAGCTGGCCAACATGGGTATCGCCATTGGCGGAGATAGTCGCGACCTGGGCGATCTCCTCGGAAGTAGTGATAACTCGCTTGTTCTTCTCGAGGTACTCGATCACCTTCTCGACGGCCTTTTGGCTGCCTCGACGGAGGTCCATAGGGTTGCAACCAGCAGCGACATTCTTGACGCCCTCGGAGTAGATAGCGCGGGCAAGGACGGTCGCGGTTGTTGTCCCGTCACCGGCCACTTCGTTGGTCTTGTTAGCAACATCGGTAACAAGACTGCAAAGAGAGTCAATTGAAGTTAACAACACGATAAAAATGGTCCATACCGAGCTCCGAGGTTCTCGAACTTGTCCTGCAGCTGGATAGCCTTCGCAACCGTGACACCGTCTGCCCAAGGCATGAGTAACAAATTATTAACCCAAACAAGGCGACCAACCCTTGGTGATCTTGGGGCCACCGAACGACTGCTCGATGATGACGTTCCTGCCCTTAGGACCGAGGGTGACGCTGACGGCCTTTGCGAGGATATCGACACCAGCGAGCATTGCCGCGCGTCCCTCGTTAGAGAAGCGGACCTCTTTGTGTGCCCCACGAGCAAGGATAGACTTGGAAGCCTGTGCGCTCTTCCGTAGAGCAACGCGAGATGAGCGTGCGGCGTGCATGATGTCTAGTGGTCGACAAGGGTGAAGAAGGCGAAAGAGGTCGAGGAGAAGGGGAGTGAGAAGAGGAAAGGAACGGAGTGGCGCAGGGTTGAAATTTCTGAGGCAGCCCGGACGCGCAAAAAGCTGAACCGGTCGGCCTTGACCGGAAGCAAAAAAGTTCGAGAACGCCGGGGAAAACGGAGACGGTAGACGGGCAGAGGCAATTAGCCTTTACTCCTTCGTTGTTCACCACCAGGACATATTAAAAAACAGATGGTAAGAACGTTAATATTCTTACAAGTCTCTTTCTTATCAAGTACAGGCATCTCAAGTCACTTTCAAGTCCATCAAGAGCCTTATGCCCCTCCTCGATCGCGTCCTCGTCCAGCGGTTAAAGCGCGAGACAGTGCGCCGTCTTCCATTTGCTATCAGGTTTTATAGGCTGACGCGTCTACAGAAAACCGCCTCTGGCATCTTCCTCCCCACCTCTGCCACTGAGTCCCCGCTCCCCGAGGCCACCGTCATCGCTGTCGGCCCTGGTGCACCCAACAAGGATGGAAGCATTGTCCCCTGCCAGGTGAAGGCGGGTGACCGAGTCCTCCTTCCCGGCTGGGGCGGAAACTCGATCAAGGTTGGCGAGGACGTGCGTACACTCTTCTTTTTAATGCGTCATGCGTACTCATTCCGGTTGTAGGAGTTCCACCTGTTCAAGGACTCGGAAATCCTTGCCAAGATCCAGGAGTAGATTGGGCGTCCGCGAATCTCTCCCTGTATCTCGTATGGGTGGCTTTGCATGCCTCATGGGCCATATTCATCTTTTAATCATTAGCATGTACCGCGCACCCCTCAGCAATGAAACCTCTTGATCATACATTCGGTGCTCAGGTGCTTATACGTACATACCGGTGTACCGGGCGCCCGCTCTAAGGAGATGTGGGAAGCTGTTACCTTTCGCTGAATCTGACATCAAACACACCGCTCCTTCAACCTGCTTCCCCTGCTTCCTCTCGTCTCTCCTCAGCAGTAACATCTACCATACTCTGCAGGTCTACTTTGTCCACCAGCGCTTGCGCTTTTCTCGTGAGATCCCTCGCTTCTTCAGCCGTATCCTCCAGGTCATCCACCTTCCCCTGGGCCTCCGCCTCGACCATCGCAGCTCTCCTATCAACGCTCGACCTTCCCCATTTTGTAGGTGGCCCTCCCACACCCGGGAGGATCTGTTCAGCTCCCAGTGCGATCGCCATCCCGGTCTCTTCATCCCGCTTGATAATCCCCTTACCGGAGATTTCCACTCCTTCAAGTGACAGCAGACTCTTGATGTCCCCGTCCCCATCCCCATCCCCATTGACGTCGTTTGCCTCTGCATACGGTGCATCCCCAATGAACACCGCATTAGTCGCTGCCTCTCTGGGATTCATGCCCTGGTCTTCCCATTGTTCTTTGCGCAGCTTGTATTCCCATATCGCCTGATCCAGCTGCTCTAGTCCGGTTCTAACGCACTGCTGCAACACCAGCTTGAGTCCGAGCTTCAGCGCCCAACGTAATACTGGCCGAAGAAGCCAGGCCAGCCAGGAATACTTGCTGTCGCGAAGGCTAAAGTCCAGGTCGGTGATAGATACGCTCACGTTCTCGACTGTGTAAATGCCCGTTTCGAGGTCAGCAGGTAATCGGAGCTCGATGTCCATCCCCAAACCGGATTTCAGGATCGAGAAATCGATGATACCATACTGCTCCTTGAAGGGTGGGAACCAGGAGTATTTTTTGAGAGACACCCAGAACGGCACGTCGTGGATATTGATACGAAGACCGTCGAACCGTATCCGCATGGTTGAATCGAACTCCGTGGGCTCGTCCGGAGCGGTAGAGACTTGAACATCGTTAGAAGTCGTGAAGCGAAAGTGGTCGGGGAAGAAGTTTGCGCTCTCAAAGATGACGTCGTCTAATACGAAGGCCACGTCTGGAGAATCGAACTCAAAGCGCGGCATTGGCACACACTGGATAACTCGGGCAACAGCGGGAAGGATCACATCCGTGATATCTCGCCAAACGGCGATAGCCTCCCCTTTCGCAACGCTAGTCACAACGTAGCCCATTCCAATGGTGTCCGTTATGACCTTCTGCACGGCGAGAGCAAGGTTATTGACATGCTTGTCGGTGAGAATACCGTTGATAATCAGCTGCAGCTCAGTCAACAAGTCCGTCGCTGCCTTTTTCCATTCGGGCTTGATTCGTAACAGCTCTTGTCCCTGACGGTATATCTCCTGCGTACGTCTTATAGCAGCGACGGTGCTCGCATATGGCCGGTCGGTCAAAACGCGGCGAACGTGGTCGTCGAGTGCCTTGAAGTACACGCTCAGGTCTGGATCGGCCGTGATAGCTTTGACTGTGGTATCCAGTGCTTTGGTCAGCGGGTTCAGCGACCGGTTGGAGAGGGCCTCAACAATAAGGCGTAGATTGTGTAATGCGGCCCTTGTGTGCTGCGAGGGGTCGGAGAGGGATACAGAAGCCAGTGTGGAGGAAGCCGCTGACGATGTTTGGGTGGTGTATTTGTATGCCAGGTCGATGAGGGTAATGAAGGCGGGCTGGAAGGACGGGTCTGTTTGCATATGTTCGAACAGCTACGCATAAGGTTAGAACTTGGTAAAGCTGCATCGAAGCGACTGCTAACCATCCTGAATCTCTCTACTGCCTGATCCTCAACCTCCTGCGCAATGACCTTCTTTGCTTGCTCCGGTATGGTCCCATCTGTTTCGGGTGCGCCGAGTACTTGCTGAACGACCTCCTTCCCTTCATTCACGTCTTCCTGCAACCCTGCAGCCCTCTTTCTTTCCTCCTCTGTTGGTCGGAGTGTATCAGCTACTTCTGCCAGGGGCTGGCTGATGCTCTCCGCTGCATCACTGAGCAGCGTGGCTGGCGATGTAGTGAGGGCGCTGGTGAGGAAGACTCGGGAGATCGTGCCCAGAGAACGGAGAAGACGGTGATAGTCTTCAGTTAGATCTTTTCTAGATTCCGGGGCCGGGACGTCTGCATGACGTGAATTCAGCACACCACTAAATCGTTTGGGGAGGGTTTCGCACCAGCTTTCGTCCCCATTCGAGATCGTCGACTGTGATACCAGACTTCCTGGAATTTGTCATCGGCTTGAATTACATTCAGTTCATAAACCAGATTGATTAGTTATAGGGCAGAACGCACCATTCTTAGCCTCCCCGAACTCTTTCCGCTCCAATAACAATGACCGCGCATCTCCGACGACTCTCCTCCCACTCTCGCTCAACGCTTTCCCCGAGCGTTTTGTGTCATCAGGAGGATTGTTCACATCGGTTGCTTGCCACTTGATGGCCTCCGCGAGAACATTAGAATCTGTACTCGAGAGGGAAGCTTACCCGCCCCTAAAGCGCCGAAACACCTTGCGAGATGGGTCTGGCGAGGTGGAAGATGCTCCGATCTTGATGGACCGACCGGGAGGTCTGCACTTTGGACAAGAGAGGGGTGTGTTCGTTATCTGCTGCTATAGACATGGTTCAAGGTGGACGAACGGCTCTGAGGGAGGATTACATGGTGACCGGGACATGGGTGCGGGGAAGTCGTGATTAGCCCTAGGGACAAACTACGTCATGTGCAGGGTTGGCTCCTCAATTGCCGTTTTCAGCAGCGCGGCGATCATGTCTCACAACTCACGGGCGCTTGTGATAATCCAATAAATTATGAGTCCATATCAAGGAATGCCGTCCTCCGATATCCATTTCCCTCTATAAGTACTAGCAATCAATGTTGAATTGAATGACCTTCGTTTTCTGACTGGGAACATTATTATCACCCTTCCGGTTGACTTGGAGATTGTGCTTCTTCAGCGGAATCTGGTAGCAACGGCTGGGTTGGGGTATCCTCTTGTGGTTCTGGGACCTCTTCGATCGGACGCTGAGTCAAATTTAGCTCTGAAATCGATAATGTGTGAAGCAGCATACCAGCGTCTCTTGATGTTCATTCTCCGCTGTCAACGCTGGGCCTGTGGGGTGCGGCTCCTCTCGCAGCTGTACCTGATTTCCCTCTAAAGCAGCGCCAATCGTGCTCTCACCATCGCTGTCTCTCGCCCTGACTCGCTGGAGAGGGGCACCCCATTCCTCTTCCTGTGCGCCTAATACGGCTTCTTCCCCATCGCCTGCCATCTTCTGGTACCTCCTTGCTCTCCTCAAGAACAGCGATCGCCGGAGTTTGCGCCAGGGAGTGACCCAGTAGATGAGGCAGAGCACGCCGACTGTTCTGCCTGTAAGCTCTCACTGGGATGCTGGAGGCGATTGAGTACAAACCAGAGGTGAGAACGATGGCTACTATGCCAGCGCTACTGACGGCTGGGGGACTGGGAGCGTCAATAGCGGCAAGATCTGACCTCCGACTAACAAACGCGTCAGCCTCTGAACGTGTGTGGAAGAGGGACACTGACCCCAGCAGCGACAGGAGAAGGGTCATAGCGCGTTTACTATCAAATTACGATGAGAAAGGCATTGGGCTGAGCGTTTTGAGGACATGGCTGTGAAAGAGTGGGCGCGCTGCGGATCAGGGGAAAGAAGCAGAGGCTGGGAACTGGTTCCTACTTCCGAAAATAGACGCGACGAATTCATCAGGAGGGGTGTTGACCATGAACTCCTTGTTACTATCCCAATCAGAAATCAGAGGATTTATTTCGTATATTCCTTTCTATATACCCGATCAATACGATAGACTCTCGCCTGAATTCTCTCCTTCTATACCTGCAGTGTCCTTCCGACGGCGCCGTACCAACACAATCCCAACACTGCACCCACGATGATTGCGATCGCAGGCGAGATACCGAACCACGCGCTCTGGGAGTACGTCAAGGCTGCGACGACGACCCACCAGGGATCTATGGCAAGACTCTGCCCCGCCGTTGCTTGTGGGGTGAGATAACCGATTTCCCATAGCCTATACACAGCTGTGAATACGAGACCAACGGCCGTGGCGTTGATCCCTTTGAGAAAGCTGACTATCCATCGTCTTTTTCGTAAGACTTGCCAGATGCTGAGCGTCGAAACAGCGAGGACGATCCCAGGTGTAAAGATACCTACGAAGCCGACCAGCGCTCCAAGAGTCGTTGGTAAACCGAACGATTGAAAGGCAAGAGCACCGAGGTAGACGGCAAAGTTGAAATTCGGCCCTGGAAGGGCTTGGATGATGGCGATACCGAGTAAGAAGTCGCGGGCGGAGACCCAGCCGGGATCGACGACATACGAACGCAGAAGAGGGATTACAACTGGCCCGCCGCCGAATATGATTGTCCCGGCTAGGTACATGTTGGCGAAAAGGTCCAACACCGGCGAGTGGGATGGTATGGTACTACGAGGAACAAGGACGGCGATCAAGGAGCCTGGCATGGCATTTGTGAGCTATGGGTTGGTAGGCCCAACATGACAGACTCACCGATGAAGAGCACAACAAGGGCTAGACCAACCTTCATCGACACATTGGTGTGTGGGCGACTAGAGATTACGAGGTCAGGCTGAACTGCCTCTGCAACAGCGGACACAGTAATGTCCTCCTTCGACGAAGGGGCATCAGGCACATTCCGCCGCCGTACAGGTTCTGCTGCCGCGGAAGAGCTGTCCCCCGCAGCTCTCGTATTAGTTGGGATACGTTCGAGCTCTATGTCTTGCTGCTGCCCTGATTGAGCATCGATGGGTTGTTGCACTGCTGAAGCCGCGGGACGACGGCGCGTCCCATTCAGTGCATTCTTGGCCTTTGTGACGAACGCGGCTAGTCCTCCATTCCAGGCGGTGGTAGCAACCCCTCCAATGACAAGCAACATAGGGAAGTACCATAGTGTATTGTAACACATCCCAGCACAAGCACCAAAGATGACCAAGGCACGCGTCCACTGGGACGTGATAGCTTTATTGGCTAGTTGAGTACCGGCGAGACTGATGATTCCCACAGTAGCAGCGTTGAGACCAGAGAGCAGGCCATACACGGGGAGGGGCAGGATCCCGGCGAGTCTCTGCACGCCGAGACTGAAGGCATACATAGCGACTGCACCCGGAAGACTAGCGGCATGGATTTGTGAGAAACTTCGATAAATACCGATAGTAGTTGACACGCACCTCCAAAGGATTAGCACAAGGATAGCGGCCAGTGGCCCGTGATGCAATAGAGTAAAACAGAAAAGGAGCTTAGTGCTTGCCGGACCGGGAAGAGCCTGGCACAGACCAAAGATCTCTTGGTACTGGTGTGGCAGAATGATCGTCAAGAATGGCGGCGTCTCGGAATAACAAGTTCTTACCGTCTGTTCATCCATCCATTGTTCCCCACAGGCAGCGTCCTCTCCGACAAAGCGCTGGTGAAATATAGCAAAATGTGCTGGCGGCCCTCCAAAACCGATGAAACCAAGATCCCAGGTCCAGCGTAAGAGATTGGAAAAGTTATGTTGTGGGGTTTCCGGCGTTGCCGAAATTGCGGAATTGTCCGCATTCCGAGGAGAACGCCTTGGACGCTGGAAGAGGCGCCGGATGCTCGCGGAATAGTCCGGAGAAAGAATATGGACCCGAGGCATAGATTATCTTTTAGGAAGCTGGAGTTCAACGGCTGAAGAGCACGATACAGAGTTGGGGAGAGTAGTGAAAGAGCGAGAGCCGGAATTGGTTCCGAGCGCTCTCGAAACATCAGTCGGTCCGCTTGGCAGGGTGTGGATCTCATGCCATCATAAAGCGCATAACAAGGATAATAAAAGGACAGATTCTACACAACACGTCCACCAAATTAGTCCACGGATGTGGGAAACAGGGAGGCCGGGAGAAAAACTCCCATCGCCGTCACTCCACTCCGCACTAACAGGCATAGGTATCACACTTCCATGGTATCCACGAACACAGACCGCGCCTTCCATTCCCACCCTACTCGAGAAAAAAGGATGCCCGAACTACAGTTTGTCAGGTGGGCGCTAAAAAGATCGGTCAATATGAGCGAAGAATCGTGGCAAAGACATACGCACAACAGTCTCTCCGGATCCACGACTTGAAAAGCTCCCATTCGAATGGTCGTCGAGCTTGAAGAGCACTTGCTTGGGATTGTCTGCCAAGGTCGGGGATGATGGTCGAGAATCTGATAATTCGAATTCGGTCGCTGGGACATTTCGGAGAGGTGCTCCCTCTGCTTGCTCCTCCTCGTCGGCGACCCGTGTACGTCGTCTACAGCACCCAGCGCTCCATGGGCTGCACCATAGGACAACCAAGCCAAAACAGGCAGCTGAATGACATCAATATGGGCCTTTAGCGCGGAGGCAAGGACGCACTGATGGACAATAGTACAGAGAGCGTGATGACCCAGGGCATGGCAGTACCACCTTCCATCTTGCTAGTGATGTAATTAAGCTTGCTTGAACGAACACCTAAATGAAGGAGACAGTCGAATGGCTGAGGAAGAGAGTTGCCTTTCTGTTGAGCGCCAGATCATGCTCGTGCGGGTCTACCAAGGGGCCTTTTCAGATCGTCGAAGGCTGACAGGCTGTGTTCGCCTCAAGTCAGGGATGCGTGAGACTTTAATATTGTTGCCTTGCCGTTCAGGAGGCGGGGCATGACTACCATTGAAGATGGCCGAAGCGAGTTTCAATGCAATATTGAACGGAGTCTTCACATAAGGGTCCAAAACAACGATTCAATAACTGAAACACTTACAGTAACAAGCATTGATTTTCAGTCCAGATCGATATTCCTTTTCAAAGAGAGCATTGGAGTTCATTACGGCGGTGAACATGCCGAATCAGGATACAGATGATCTGGGATTAGGTGACGTCTTCGAGGCAGGTACAGCACTGGCATCATTACGTTTGTTCGACGCTAACATGAATTTCCTCGCAGGCCTCACCGAGTCCACCGCCTCCGGAGCCAACAATAGCATACTACGATCTTGATTCGCCGGTAGAAGGAAGCGAACGTGGTCCACGGCTGACGATTAGACTGGTTGGATCGGTACGTAATTCATATGTCCCGAGAAGAACTCGCTGACAGACTTGGTAGCATCCACTGTGGGGCCACTATCTCTGGAATTCCGGAATCTGTCTGGCTAAATATCTGGAGCACAACCCGACTCTGTATGCAGGAAGTAATGTACTTGAACTCGGAGCCGGGGGTGGTTTGCCGGCTCTTGTCACTGCTCTACGGGGAGCGAAAAAGGTGCGCCGCTCCAGGACGCTCATGTGGCACTTCTGACCATTCACCAGACCGTGATCTCCGACTATCCTGATCGAGCACTAGTAGAGAATATCGAGGTCAATGTTGAGCGGAATGTGCCAGAGAAGGAGAGGAGTGAAGTAGCAGTGTTGGTGAGCTTCGCCCCGGCTCGTCGTTCCGCCCCAGCTGAACCATACGGAGGGCTATGTCTGGGGCGCCGACACTACACCCTTGCTCTCTACCATCAGTCCGTCCCGATATTTCGACCTCGTCCTCCTCAGCGACCTTATATTCAACCATTCTCAACATGAAGCGCTCCTGAAGAGTTGCGAGCTGCTGACCGACCCTCATCCGCAATCAGATCAGCCAAGCGTCCTAGTATTCTACACGCACCATAGGCCCCATTTAGCAGAGAAAGATCTGGACTTTTTCAGATTAGCGGAGAGCCGGGGTTGGATATGCGACAAGTTTTTCGTAGAGCAGAAAGAGGTGGGCGCTTGTTAGTGGTGGGATGCGTGTTTGCTGACGGAGCAAAGGCCATGTTTGCTGATGACCCCGGCGATGTGGTCGTTCGGTCAACTGTACACGGATGGAAGCTCCGACGGCCAATATAGGCTGGCGTGGTTGGCTCCTCCCACACGAGACTGGCCTCAACCCCTCGAGTTAGCGACAACCTGGAGAATTACCGCCAAAACGTATTTGTATCGAGAAACAGAGAACGGTACACGGTATATTCATAGCCGTGTGTGTTATATCACAGCGGGATTGCATGGTCGTTGTGACATGGATATTGTTGTAGCTCGCTGAGCGATGTCGAACGAAAGTTCGTGACTTCTCAATACGTTGTGAGTTGGTGACCGAATGCGCAAAACTGCACGTATGGTAGTCCAAAGTTACGTGTATTGGAGAAAGACAAAAACATGGAAGATTCAAAAGCAAAAAGAGCAATAAATATTGTGCGCCGGAGCGCATCCACTCTGGAAAGCGTGTCATCCTTGTGCAGGGGCCATGCTAATCTTCTCTGTATCGTTCCAATTTTTTCGTATGTCACCCCGAAGGGGACAGTAATCAAATGACGGGGAGAGGGGTCCTGCACTGGGATTTGCGTTTGACGCGAGCGTCGTTGTGCACGGACGCGGGTTTTGGTTAGGGCCGGTCTGTTTCCTCTGGAGTGCTAGCGCCACCGTTTCCCAGCCAAACCAAATAGAAACGCTTTGTCCAAAATATCATTGTGTGTCTCCAGCATACAAATGCATATGCATGTGCTTTCATTCGGAATAGGCAGCACCCGTACAGTCAATGCAGCCTCTCACTCATTCCACACTTGATTGAAGGAAATGGATTAAAGGACTGATATCTCTGGTAACTAGGGTTATCTTGGCTACACAGTGAGTACAGCATTTCTGTACGTGTATGAATGGATCAATCTGGATCTGGCTGGAGAGACAGGGTAAACTAACGAGGGTATGGTCGACCACGGGGGATGATGGGATTGCTCAACAAGATGTTACCAAGGAAAAAGGAAACGAAACAGAAAAAGGAAACAAGAAAAGGAAAGGCTCATAATACAGCCAGGGACGTCAAATAAAAAGAAAGATAAGAAAACTCCAATTTCCAAAGATTGCAGACCCAAAAGAACGGTAACGGTAACGGTAACGTGTGTCGAAAATCGTTTACTCGACATCCTCCTCTTCTTCGGATGCCTCAATAAGGTTATGCAGCGGTGCACCGTGTACGTATCGGGGGAAAGACGACTGGATCTTGTCAGGTTCGAAGAGCGCCGAGCCTTCAGAAGACGGCATCCCTTTGGGGGAAGCAGTCGCTGGGCTCGTTGTCCGCGCCGGGCCTGCGGGACTTTTAGGTCGCTCGACAGGCGCAGCAGGCACTGAGAGCGTCGCTGAAGCGGCAGGTACGGGTACGGGGATCCTCGATGGACCAGGGTCCGTTGCCTGCCTATCCCGTTCCTGATACAACTCGATAAGTGAGCTGACGCCCGAGGAATGCTTGTTCCCCGAAGGCCGGCTCGACTGCCAGCCGCCAACGGGTATTCCGCCCGGCCCACGGGGATCAAACGGCGTGGCGTTGTCCGGACCAGACAAGTCCGTCATAGCATCGGCATCGTCGTCCCCCTCCTCCTCACCCAGCCTACTCTCACCCTCAGTCATGCTCTCCCTATACTGCCTCTCCCCTCCCTCTTCGTCCTCAGACTCGGGCGGCGACGGCCCCGCGGTAGGGAAGATGATTCCCCTCCTGTTCCTGTTCGGAGCCCTGTCAGGAGGTAAGGGGAACTCGTGCCCTAGGCCCGTGCTCAGACCCACTGGGGTATGCTGCTCATGCTCATCAGACTCGTATTCCTCCGGTACGGGGTACACGCTTCCCGGGCTTGGGCCGTCGGGGGTAGGGACTCTCTCTCGGTTGGCGTACTGCGCTTCGTCCTCTGCCTGGGGAGCGTGCTGGCTCACGGGCGAAGCAGGGAGTTGCGGCTGCGGCTGTCCCTGCCCCTGTTTGGAATTAGCAAGCCGTATATCGACCCAATTCTCCTTAGGTCTCTGTTTCCTCCCACTCTGCCTCTCCTCATCACTATGATCGCTCAAGCTAGCCGAGGCAAACTCGACCTCCACAGCCGTTTCCTCCGAGGGGATAGCAGGAGGATGCCGACCGAGCGCTTTGAGCCTATTCAGAGGTCCGACAGAGGTACTCGGATGAAGAGGAAAAGGCGGTCGACGGAGTTTGTTCGCTCCTTCTGGGTGCTGCCCCGGCTGGAGAGGAGAGGAGATCTGCAGCCGGGGCTTGTCGGGGGGCGGGGGTGGGCCTTGACCCTGCCCTTGACCCTGACCTTGACCTTGGAGGTTGAGCGTAAGCTTGCGGGTGTTGTCTGCCCGCTCTCCCCGTTCACCAGCAGCGATCAGTCGCTCGAACTCGGCTTCCCTGTCCGGGCTCCGAGGGGCAGTAGACACCTGCTGCGGAGGGCGAGTAGTGATAATCGGGATAGGGATGGGGATAAGTTTCTTCCCTCGGCCGGAGAAGAGCCCGCCTTTCTTCTTCTTAGGGTTGAGCAGGCTTTCCCTATACTCCCGCGGGACGAACTCTTCGAACACGAACCACTGGGTACTGGAACGGTTGTCTACTCCATAAGCCGTGAGAGTGCTAGGCGCGCGCTGGTCGGCACTGAGCTGTTCAGGCGCAGCGCGGTACTCCACCAAAACCCAATTACAATCCCTGAACGTGCCTTCCGCACGGTCCATCCAGCCTGTGCTCAAGAGCAAATCGGCACAACAGTCGATAAACGTCTCGTCCACGAGCTTGTCCCTGCCATGCACGGGATGGGTGTCCCACCCGAACTCGGGAAGCGATTTCTGCTGCTTGCGGAGCTTTTTATGAAGCTCAGCTTGATGTTCCGGCCAAGTGTTGATGCTCTCCTTGACAGGGGGGGAAAAGTCGAGCGAGAAATCGTCCCGTGTGAACCCGACGTTGGCAAAATCAGACCACGCCATCGTGTCCCTCTTGGATGGCTGTCGCTAGCAGGTACGGGAGACGGAAGGAGGGGGAAAACATCAGCAAGTGGGGCAGGGATGGGGATTAGGCTCACCTTGCGCGCGCTCTCGGTCAGGTCAAATTCTAGCTTCTTCGGGTCCGCGACGTCAAACCCGGAACTCTCGAATATGCCCCAGCGGAGATCGGTAAGACTCTTAAACTTGTCCGCTTCGGGGATGACGATCGTCCCGAGCACGGTCGGCCCGTCGACGCGGTCTTTCGGGGGCGGGGTGGGCGGCACGCGGAGGTAGGACGATGTAGGGAGAGCGGTAAGGGGAAGGTCGAGTTTCTTTCGATAGTCTTCGCTGTACAGCGGTTGGGCGGTCTTGCCCGGCCCGGCAATCCGGCTCCATTCACGGATAGGCTGGTCCGGAGCTGTTTCTGCAGGCCAGGTAGAAGCTGTCTGGAACAGGTCGGGGGAATAGAGACGGACGTTTCGCCTGACAGAGATGACTCGGACTGTTTTGGCATTCGGCCGCGGGCGGTCCCGCAGTGTCCCTGGAGGGGGGAGCATTGCTGGGTAGCCTCGGACCCAGTCTTTGAGCCGCGTGGGGAGGGAGACGCCTGATCTTTGCTGGAGCTCCCAGTCCTGCAGCCGGATAAATGCAAGGATCAGGTGTTCCGTGGCGTTTGACGCTGAGAGGTATGCCTGGTACGTGGCTGTGAAAGGCTGGGACTGGGGCCCGAGGCCAAAGATAAGCGGGCCGAAGATGTTGGCGAGCGCGACTGGGGTGAGCCCGGAATAGGTCGCGTTCGCTGCGAAGCGGGATAGGAGAGGGAAGAGGACGGCGAGAAGGGGGCGAACGGGGGGAGGGAGTTTCGGGGGGAAGGAGAGGTAGGCGTCTGGTGCGTAGGCGCTGGCGCGTTCTTCCTCTCGCCATGTATCGTATGCCGCTGAATCTAGCAATCCGCGGAGCTCATAAGACCCGATGATACGGACTACACGGGCAATCCCCCAGCGCAGCAGGGCTGCTAGCTCGTGTGGCCCGGAGAAACGTACTTCATCTCGCCAGCGGCGGTCCTCGGACTCTGGGGCGGTGACGGTGCGTAGGAAAGCGCGTATGAGGGAACGTATGCGGTGGGAGGAGAGGTCTAGCGCGCGTGTGGAGAATAAAAGAGGGGTTGTGAGTGCTGGACTGTGTCAGCGTCGCCGCGGCGCTAGAGGGTAGGAAAAGGAGGATACCTTTTGCTTCGAGCTCTTTCCCGACGACGTGGATGAGGTTTGTGACTGTCTGTAGGCCTAGTGTGACCTGGCGACCCTCGGCGAGGTAACCGACGTCCTGGATGATCTCCTGTTCATCCGTTTGTGCGGGGATGTGTGCATCAAGATACCTAGGAATTGCGGGTAAGTCGGGCAAATCTCTGTCGAACGCGGAAAGGTTCCTGGCGCGCTGATTCTGCGTTGTTGGTGGGAGTAGTTGCTGGTGCGTGTCTTGATATATACCAAATTCTGTGATTGTTACTGCTTGACCATTTGCAGAACCGGCTGAGCGTGACTTTGTGAGAGGATAACCTGGTCTGAGGAGGTTGTTTGGGTTTACTGTCTGTTGTGCTGTTGATGATTTTTTACGAGGGGTGAATATGGACATGCGTAAGCAGGCCAGAGTGGGTGAGGTGGTTGTTGCTGTTGATGAGGAGGAGGAGGAGGAGGATGAGGAGGATGAAGATGAAAGAGAGAGTAAGAAAGAGGGAATGAATGACCAGACTTGGATTGGTGTCGTCTAGGCAATGGCGGTGTGCAACGAGGGAGGCAAGGGGGATATGCCGCGTGTAATTGCTCTCCACCAATAGGAGAACGAGTTCGGTCATCCTCGGCGATAATAACACCCATCCAGTATCACATAAGTACAACCCTCTCACTCTCTCCCTTCATCTTTAACCACCATCATCCCCTTCTCTTCTTCACATCATGGCAGACGCAGAGAGCAAGGTATATCCTACATATATGCGCATACATTCACCTAACAACACTCAAACAGTTCCCAATCGACCTCGCTTCATATAAGAACATCGCCCTCGACCCTACAAAGCCTTCTCTCACAGCACAAGAGAAGGAGGCAATCCAGTACAACATCCACCTACTCCGTGACGCAATCATCCTATTCACAGCGACAGGCGCAGCACGCGGCGTATCCGGTCACACAGGTGGGCCATACGACACCGTACCTGAAGTAGTCATCTGCAGGGCTCTCTTCCATCATGCCGCTACCGTACCTGGATCGCCCCAGTTCGTCCCCACCATGTTTGACGAAGCTGGTCATCGTGTTGCGACCCAGTACATCCTCTCAGCACTGAACGGTGACCTCCCGCCCGAGCACCTCCTCCACTACCGCGCCGCCTACTCCAAGCTCCCCGGCCACCCCGAACTCGGCCTCACCCCCGGCGTAAAGTTCTCCTCCGGTCGCCTCGGCCATATGTGGGGACACGTCAACGGCGTCGCCTTTGCTAACAAGGACAAGACAGTCATCATGCTCGGATCTGACGGATCAGAGCAGGAGGGTGACGACGCCGAGTCTGCCCGGCTGGCCGTTGCCAAGGGACTCAACGTCAAGCTGCTTATCGACGACAATGACGTGACGATCGCTGGCCACCCGAGCGAGTACTTGCGCGGGTACGACGTGGGTCGCACGCTCGAAGGCCACGGGCTCAAGGTCGCCCGCTGCCTCGGCGAAGACCTCGATTCCCTCTGGACGGGGATCACCACCATCCTCGCCACCCCTGGGCCTGCGGCGCTCATCACCAAGCGCAAGATGTGCCCAGGGGTCAAGGGACTCGAAGGGAGCACGCACGGTCACGATGTCATCCCCGTCAAGACTGCTGTTGAGTACCTCCAAGGACGCGGGTACGGCACGGCCATCACCGACATCCTGCTCAACATCAAGCCGACCACTATCCCATATGTGTACGAGGGCTCGTCAAGGGATAACAACGCTAACCGTGTTGTGTTCGGCGAGGCTGTTTCGGACGTCCTCGATGGGCTTAGCAAGGAAGAGGCTGCAGAAAAGGTCATGGTCATTGACAGTGGGTGCCTCTCCGCTTACGGGCGGACGTTGGCTGATTCTCTGCAGGCGACCTCGAGGGCTCCACCGGCCTCAAGGTTATCCACCAGAGGCATCCCGAGGTGTTCGTCACCTCTGGTATCATGGAGCGTGGCAACCTCCTCGCCGCAGCTGGGTGCGTCCCTCCCCTTTCCATTTCCCTCTCCCTCACGCACTCACTCCCCTCAGGTTCGGCTTTGACAAGAACAAGTTCGGTGTCTTCTCGACCTTCTCTGCCTTCCTCGAGATGTGCATTTCCGAGATAACAATGGCACGGCTGAACGACTGCAACCTCCTGTGCCACTTTTCCCACTCCGGCGTCGACGAGATGGCAGACAACACCTGTCATTTCGGTATCAACCATTTCTTCGCCGACAACGGTCTCTCCGACTTGCATTCCTACCTCTACTTCCCGGCCGACGCAGCCCAGATGGCCGCCGTGATCAAGAAAGTTTTCTTCCAGCACGGGATGCGTTTCGTCTTCTCGACCCGCTCGAAAGTGCCCTACATCCTCAACGCCCAAGGCCAGCGGTACTTTGAAGCTCCGGGGTACGAGTTCGTCCCAGGAAAGGACGAAGTGATCCTGGAGGGCACAGACGGATATGTCGTCTCCTTCGGAGAGATGCTTTACAGGTCCTACGACGCCGTCCTCCGGGCACGCAAGTCTGGCGTAAACGTCGGGCTGATCAACAAGCCCACCCTGAACCTGGTGGACGAGTCCGTCCTACGCAAGATCGGCACCACAAAGTTCGTCCTGGTCGTCGAGTCCCAGAACCAGAAGACAGGCTTGGGGAGCAAGATGGGCACGTGGCTGTTGGAGCGCCAGTTGACCCCTAGGTATGGGTATATGGGCACGGTGAAGGAGGGATGTGGTGGGTTGCAGGAACAGATCCCTCACCAGGGGCTGGACCCGGAGAGTATCCTCGCGAAGATTAAGGTGTTGGCGCAGTAGGCGGGTGCGTGTGTTGTGTTATGTTTACGCTGCTGGGTGGGTGATGGGATGTACACAAAAAGAATGACTGATCGATGACTGACTGATTAGAATATGAATGAAATTGGAATGAAATTTTAGTTGTCCTTTACAGTGAATTTGTTACTTGTGGACGTGGGCCGTCAGTTCTCTGAGTGTTAACGTTGCCTACTCGTTACAAGTAAAGATAGTTAGATCAATATGATAATACCCAATGAACTGAAAATAAGAAGAAATAACCTTGGTAGTCAAGCCACGACTTAACCGAACCCATCCGCCCATCGGTTTCGGGAGATCAACCCGCCCTTTGCCGTCTTTTCTTCTTCCCACCCGTCCAGCAATACTTATGTACCCAACCACTACGAACATGGACAGCACACAGCACACAGCACACAGCACTCCACCACTTTCACCCGGACGAACAACGAACAACTATCCATCTGTTTACAGTCACTCAGGACTCAGGACTTAGGACTTAGGACTTTGGGCTTAGGCTAGGATGAGTATAGACAACTACCTCTTGACCCGGTATGGGTATCTTAAAGTAGTCGACATGCTTTCCATACCCGGTACGCTCTCACCATCTCCTCCCCATCTCCCCACCCAATCCCGCACAACTACACCTACTCATCACCGTGCTCATCACCGTACTCATCACCCACGTTGCGTAGGCCGCCCATTCCACCAACCCATCCCCAAACATATCTACGACGCAGAACGTGCTTCGGGCTGTATAACCCCAGAAGACGAGAAAGTGTTGTTTAGGGAGAGCGCGAGACCCGTTTGGCTCTACTCTGTGCGTCCCCCCCCCCCCCCCCCCCCCCCCCCCCCCCCCCCC